CCCCAACAAAACCCAGCAGCCCCAGGAGGGTTCTCAGGGATTTCTGGAGTTTCCCAAAGCATTATTCCCATTTTCAATGGGGGAAAGGGCAGGAAAAGGAGGAAAAATGACATTAAATGTGCCCTTTTTGAGGCCACAATGTGAAATTACCCCAAATTCTCCTTTTCCTCTCAAACCCAACCTCATTTTCAGGGATTGGCTTCCAGCACCAAAATACTGACATTTCTGAAGTGTTTCCCAGGCATAAAAATGAAAACCAATGGATTTATGAAGTGATTTTGGGATGAAATCTCATAAAGAGTCAGTGGAAAATGGGAATTTGAGAGCAGGAATTCAAAAATAATCCAATCCTTTTCTAGCTCTGCTTCACTCCCAGACAATGGAAAAAGAAATTTGAGCAAGCACACACAATGCAGGAAGAATTATTTAAATATTATTAAAATATAAATTTAAATCATTAAATAAAAATTATTCTTTCAGTTTTAAAGAATAATTTAAATATAATTTTAAAATGTAATTGATTTGGTTTACTTGATCTGTGGAAGGAATTTTCACATGTAATCCAGGAATTATCCCAAGAGAGGAACTCAGCTCTGCCCTCACTGAAGAATTATTTAAAGCTGGGCTTTAAACCAAGATTAAACTGCAGGAAAAGCCTTTGAGGCAAAGAATGAGGGGAAGGTGAAACTAAAATTCAGAATTTGGGAGTACAGCTGGGCTTTAAACCAGGCCTAAACTGCAAGAAAAGCCTTTGAGGAACACAGAAGGGAAGGTGAAACTAAAATTCAGAATTTTGTTGCCAGAAATGTGAATAAAGCTGGGCTTTAAACTGCAGGAAAAGCTGCTTTAAGGCCCACACAAAGAGGGGAAGGTAAAACTAAAATTCAGAATTTGGGTACCAGAGCCACAGAGTAAAGCTGGGCTTTAAACCAGGCCTAAACTGCAAGAAAAGCCTTTGAGGCACACAATGAGGGGAAGGTGTAATTAAAATCCAGAATTTGGGTGCTAGAGCCACAGAGTAAAGCTGGGCTTTAAACCAGGCCTAAACTGCAGGGAAAGTTCCTTTGAGACACACAAAGAGGGGAAGGTGAAACTAAAATTCAGAATTGGAGTGCCAGAAATGTGGAATAAAGCTGGGCTTTAAACCAGGGGAAAGCTGTGCTTTAAACCAGGCCTAAGCTACAGGAAAAGCCCCTTTGAATCACACAAAGAGGGGAAGATGAAACTAAAATTCAGAATTTCGGAGTAAAGTTGCGCTTTAAACCAGGCCTAAACTGTGGGGAAAGCTCCTTTAAGGCACAAAGTGAGGGGAAGGTGAAACTAAAATTCAGAATTTGGCAGTAGAACTGTGCTTTAAACCAGGCCTAAACTGCAGGGAAAGCTCCTTTGAATCACACAAAGAGGGGAAGGTAAAACTAAAATTCAGAATTTGGGAGTAAAGCTGTGCTTTAAACCAGGCCTAACCTGCAGGGAAAGCTCCTTTGAGGAACACAGTGAGGGGAAGGTGAAACCAAAACTCAGAATTTTGGTGCCAAACCCCGCTCCCCACCCTGCCCAGGNCTGGGAAGGAGGGGATGGGGAGAGGGGAGCAGGGGAAACACAGGGGAAAAGCATCAAAAAGGGAATTCCCAAAAGGAAAAATTCCCAAAGGGAAAATCCAGCTGTTCCTTGGGGTCTGGGGGGTGCCATTGGTAATGGAGAACCTGAACGGGACACAGTACTGGAGCCACTCTGGAGCCAGGCTGAGAGCTGGGAATGCTCCAGGAGAGCTCAGAGCCCCTTGCAGGGCCTGAAGGGGATGCAGGAAAGCTGGAGAGGGACTGGGAAGGAGGGGATGGGGAGAGGGGAGCAGGGGAAACACAGGGGAAGAGGAAAAGAAACATCAAATTCCCAAAAAATCCCGCTGTTCTTGGGGTCTGGGGGGTGCCATTGGTAATGGAGAACCCGAACGGGACACGGTGACTTTGTGCCTGATTCAAGGGCTGGAGACCTGGGAATGCACCAGGGAGAGCTCAGAGCCCCTTGCAGGGCCTGAAGGAGCTCCAGGAGAGCTGGAGAGGGACTGGGAAGGAGAGGATGGTGAAAGGAAAGCAGGGAAAACACGGGGAAAGGAAGAGAAGCATCAAATTGCCAAAAAATCCC